AAGGAAGGAGAAGGGACCCCCACCCACCACACACACACACACACACACCAAGACAAAAGTATGCGCATCCGATACAGCCGAAGGCAACTCCTGAGTATCCGTGAGCAACTCGGACGTGTGTCTCCCCCGGCTGTGGCCCTTCCAAGAGACATTGTCCTCCCAGCCGGGAGCAAGCCAGCTACACTCTCACCTTTGTCTGGAGGCTACACGGGCGCTTCCTCCACCAACACGACAACAACGAGCACAACAAGGTCAACGGTGACCTCCTCATCACCTCCTTCTTCATTGTCTCTCGCTGGCCACTCTGCTCGCTCCTCTGCTCGTTCGCTCAGACCGCTCGAACCGGCTGGTGGTGAATGGCTCCCCTCCTCGGACCCGATCCTGTCTTCCTTGGCAGGAGCCCAGCCTGCATCAACCAAGTCAACCAGGAGGGCACGTGGCTTGGCTTCCGGTCCTCTCTCATCCTCTCGCTCTTCTCGCTCTTCCAGACATCGTAGGAACGGTGACTTTGATGCTCGTAACGATGAGACCTTTGGCGATGCTATGGTTGACGTAGACTCGTCGGCGCCCTTCTCCTTTGGCTCGGACGCCTTTGAGGCGGAGCGGAGGCGGATGAAGGTCGAGCATGAGGAGCGGAGGAGGGCGGCAAAGGCTCGCGAGTCGGCACCGGCTGCTCACTCGCCGCCAAAGGCCATGATGGACGACTTGGCCGCCCGTGAGCGCCAGCTCGAGCACGAGTACGCTACTTTCCTTGGCTTTGACGACGACGACGACAACAACCATCTCGCCCGCCCGATGCCGCCCGCTGCCGCTCCTCATGCCGCCCGCACCCACCCCCGCGCCGCTGCGGCAGCTGCTGGCTACGCCCGCGCTGCGCCCGCTCCGCCGTCGGCTTCCGCCGTCGACTACGAGCTGGAGCCGCCGTTCACCCCCACGCTCGACTTTCTCGACTCGCCCAACACCACTCCAGCCCGCTCGCCCATGGTGCCCGCTTCGGAGCCGTCAGCTCCCGGCCCACCAGGCTTTGGCGCCCACCCGGTGCATCATCCGCGTGCCGTCCAGAGCCAGCACCACTCGCATGGCCAGAGCCAGCAGCACGCGGCCGTAGTGGCCCACTCACATGCCCTAGCACAGGCACAGGCACAGGCACAGGCCCAAGCCCAGGCCCATGCACAGCTGCAGCTGTTGCAGCAGAGGCAGCTGCTCTACCACCAACAGCTGCTCCAGCAACAGCAGCAACAGCAGCAGAGCCAGCAAAAGGCGGTCGACTCGGGCAAAGCCATGTCCGCCTTTGACAAGCTCCTCTTCTCGGTCTCCAAGGAGCAGGTGGCGTCGATGCCAGCCATGCCGACGGCGGCGCCGACCGCTGCGCCGACCGCTGCTGCGCATACTGCACCTTCTGGAGGAAGCGGCCCTGTGTCCGTCTCAGCCTTTGACAAGCTCCTCCTCTCGCTCAACCCCAACCAGGTGGCGTCGATGCCTCCCATGCCGCAGGCCCAGGCCGCTGCCCAGGCTGAGGCCCAGGCCAAGGTCAAGGCCGAGGCCCAGGCCCAGGCCCAGGCCGCCGCCCAAGCCCAGGCCCGCGCCCAGGCCATGCTCCAAGCCCAGGCCCAAGCCCAGGCCCAGGCCCAAGCCCAGGCCCAGATGTACCAGCACTACTATGCGCAGCAGCAGTACCTGCAGCAGATGCAGCAGCATCAGCTCCAGCTCCAGAAGCAGCAGGCACAGGCACAGGCCCAAGGCCAAGCCCAGCACCACCTGCCGCAGCCGCAGCACCACCCGTAGCACTGCCTGCCGCAGTAACTTGAAGTTTACCAACAACAACTCGGAGCGAAGGAGGCGACAGCCACAGCCTACAGCTTGGCCTTGGGGTAGTGCGAAGTGTACTCGGCAAGAGCCCAGAGCGGAAAGACGTTCTTGTAGGCGAGGTACGAGATGGAGCAGTTGGCGTTAAACACGCCCTTGATGCGCTCCTCGGTCCAGTTGCCGTCCGGCAGCTGCTTGGAGACAAGGTAGCGAATGCCGGCATCGATGGGGACGCGGTCCGGGTGGCGAGCCTTGATGAGAGCAAGGAGCGCCCACGCGGTGTTGACCACTTGCGACTCGCACGGCGAGTACACTTTTTCCGACGACGAGAGGAATGACTCGCCCCAGCCGCCGTCGCTGTTCTGGTTGGCAACCAGGAAGGCGCAGGCCTTGACAAGCGACTTGGCCGTGGGCTTGCGGCCTGCGGCAATGAGACCCTCGACGCCAAACCAGGTCCCGTAGGTGAAACACACCGCCCACGAGCCGTACCACGAACCGTCAGGAAGCTGGATGGACTCGATGAACTTGACGCCGCGCTTGATGGCGGCGCGGATTTCCTTGGCCCGGTGGTCCGGAAACTGGGCATGGAAGGCGACGAGAGCCTGGACACACTCGGAGGTGCACTCGACGTACTCATAGTCGACCATGATGGCGCCAAAGGTCTCGGACGGGTTAAAGGCCTCGATCCACGGCGGCGACCGCTGGAGCTCGTACGTGGCCCACCCGCCGTTGGCGTGGTTGTTCTGCAGCGAGAGAATGACGTTGACGGCGTCAAAGAGGCGCTCGGGCGCGATGCGGTCGGCGCGCGGAACGAGCGAGCTGAGCTGGCGAATCGAGAGGCAGACGCGGAGCGCGAGCGAAGTGCAGTCAGAGATCGGGTGGGTGTGGATGCGCGTCGAGAACGGCCATGCGCCCTTGGACTCGTGCCGGTAGTACTTGACCATGTTGGGCACGTTGTCGCGGACCTGGCAGATGTTGATGTACTCGTATCCCGCGTCGAGCGTCGCTATGTACCGCTCCTTGAGCGGCGAGGCGAGGTAGGCGTGGAGGGTGAACGCCGTGTCCCACAGCTGCGACCCGTTGTAACCCTGCATCTTCATGCCATCGCCGGCGAGCCAGAGGTAGTCAGCAAGGCGATCGGCGTGCTTGGTCACCGCCTCCGAGACGCCGCCATCGGCAAAGAAGCGGCAAAGCATGTTGATGGCCTTGTTGACCGGCCCGATGCAGATGTACGACGAGTTCTCGTCCTCGGCCCGAATGTGATCGATGGTCATGTCGAGCGCGGCCTGCCGCAGCGTCGTCGAGTGGACCGCCTCGTACGCTGCAAGGCTCTTGAACAGCGCCCGGTGGAGAGTGGTGTGCGGGGTGTAGTAGTCGGCGGGGCAGATGTTGGCCCGCGCCGCCGGCCAGTCGATGGAAAAGTACGGCGCGTTGTAGAGCTCGTTGCGGAGGGCGACAATGAGCGGGGTGATCGGCCCCACAGCCTTGCGTCCGTAGAGGTAGCCCATCGGAAGGTACACAATGCGGCAGTGGACCCACCACCGCGACGGATGCAGCGGGAGCCACTCGGGGAGGAGCCAGAGCTCCGGAGGGACCGGATAGAGGCCGTCCCACTCGTAGACGCCGAGAACCGCGAGCCAGAACTTGCCCCACGACGGCACCGACAGCGCCGATCCGTTCTCGCGCATCCACGCCCGCGCCCGCGCCATCCTCGTGTCGTCCGCCGGCACGCCGAGAATGCGCATTGAGACATAGTTGAGGGCAGTGCCAAACATGGTGGTGGGGGACTCGATGTGGAGGCCCCAGCCGCCCTCCTCGGTCTGCTTTCCGGTCAGGTAGCGGATCATCTCCAGCTTGACCGGCTCACCAAGCTCAGTCCCGGTAATGTATGCCGTGATGATGAGGCCCGGCATGAGGAAGAGCGGGCCGCCGTAGTCGTTGGCCCAGTGGCCATCCTCGGTGATGATGGCCGAGAGAAAGTCAAAGCCACGGACCATAGCCTCCTCGGGACCAGAGGGAGGCGCATTGGACAGAGGCACATCCTCTGAGGTATCCATCCACAGATGATAGCGATCAACAACTGACTGCAACTCGGCGAGACCTTGGTCCGACACCTCATCAGCTGGGTGATACACCCACCTCTGCCGTCCCTCGTCCACCTCGAGCGTCCACCTCCTCAGGTCCGTCCCCTCTACCCCACTCCCTACAACGTTGGAGAACTGTTCCGCACTTGCTGACATGCTCTTGCTCCAACAACTACCTTCTACTTCTACTCTGTTCTCTTGGCGTCAACTGTCTGTCTTCCCCTTCCCCCTCTCCCGCTCCTGCTACGTGGCAGCAACTCCCCCTCCCCAGCCCCGAGTCACCCTCTCCTTGTTGGTGGCCACTCTGTGAAATGATGGCCGAAACGTCACGTGGCCAACGACACATTGCTCAAAAGCACGACCTTTTTTTGGGGCAAAGGCCACAGTAGGCAGGCAGATGCGTGGTCGCCAACCGCCCCCCCCCCCCCCCCGCCCCGCCCACGCCGCACTTTTCTCTCCTCTCCTTCCACACGACAACAAGGATGAGCACGGCGGAAGACAAGGTTATCAAGGTGTATGGGAGGTGTGCATGTGAGGCGTACGCTGTTCGGGCAGATGGGCCTCTTTTGTTCTCCAGCCTCTGCCATTGCACCATCTGCCGCAAGTGTTCAGGCGCGCCTGTCTCGCACCTCATTGGCTTTGCCAACCCGCGGTGTGTGAGTGTGGCACCGAGTAGCTTCTTTGAAGCCAACGGACGTGATGCTGATGTATCGGCTGCCGATGAAGAGGCTACCTTTGCTGCCCTCATCTGCCACAAGACCTCGGAGACCATGTGCCGATACTCGTGCCCACACTGCGGCTCCTCGCTCGTCAACGTCTCGCTCCTTCCCGAGTCTGCTCCGCCTGGCCCCTTCCGTGATCTGCCTACAGGCATCCTCGAGCATGACGACAATGGCAAGCCCATTGGCTATGCTGACTTTGCCCCGCAAGCCCACATGTTCTACACCCGCAGGCTTGCCGACCACCTCGACGGCCTCCCCAAGTTTGGCACCTACCCAGGCACCGACCTTGTGCCCGAGACCGATGCCGAGCCAGAGTCGGCTGCCTAGTTTGAGCCAACCGCATCCGGGCTGGCCACACTCGGGCTGGACACACCCGGGCCGATCACGCCCGATCACGCCCGACCAAGCCCCACCCGACCGAGCCGACCGAGCCGACCGAGCCTTCGACGAGTCGCCAGCAGCACTCTACGATCAGTCGACACACATACCCAACCAAACCCTGACCCGCCGCCACCCACACCTCTCCACCACACCCACCACACCCACCACACCACCACCACCACACCACCACCACCAACACACACACACACACACACACACACACACACACATACGCCATGTCCTCGTACTCTGAGTCCCAGCTCAACCGCATTGGTACGCCACCCCGTCCTCTCCCCCACCACCCTCCATCTCCCACCACACACACACACCCACTCCCTTCCCCTCCCTCCCCCGCCCCCCCCCTCCTCTCCTCCTCTCTGCCACCGCCACACTCACCCATCTCTTCATACGCAGAGAACCTCATTGACAGCAAGCATCAGAAGGAGGCAGCGTCCCCACCATCGTCACCGGCACGGGGAGTGGCCATTGCAGGCTCTGCGCCCAATGCTGTGTTTTCTCTCTCGGGCACTTCACCAAAGGTGGCCACCGTCATCTCGGGCAATGCCATGGGCGATCTGCTGCACTCGAAGGAGTCATCGCTGCCTGGTTGGTCATCAGAGCAGGATACCAATGCTCAGCCTGGTGGCTCCACTTCGTCAGGGACTACCTTCCGCAAGACCGCTCCGAGAGGCTCGTCAAGAGGCCCGCGCAAGCCCTCGGCTCTCTCCGCCGCCCTCGAGGCAGAGGGCAGCGCGCCCCACCCGGTGACCGATGCTGTTCGCACGCGCTCGCGCTCGCGCTCGACCAGTGCACAGCGCAAGCTCGTCGCCGATCTGGATGCTGCAGGCAGTGCCGAGGCCCACAAGGGCGGCAACAAGGGTGGCAACAAGGGCGGCAACATGGGCGGCAAGGGCGGCAAGGGCGGCAAGGGCGGCAACAAGGGCGGCAAGGGCGGTGACGGCGAGCAGGCCGGCGGCAAGCGCAAGAAGATGACCAAGGCCGAGCGTCGTGCGCTGCAAGAGGCGCAGCGGGCTGCCAAGGCTGAGCGGCTGGCGGCGGCAGGCAAGGACGGCGGCAAGGGCGGCAAAGGCGGCAAGGGTGGCAAGGGTGGCAAGGGTGGCAAGGGCGGCAAGGGCGGCAAGGGCGGCAAGGGCGGCAAAGACGGCAAGAGCGGCAAGAGCTGCGGTGGCGACAAGGGCGGAGAGGCCGGAACCGGTCGGCTGGCGGCGCAGTTTGCACACCTGGAGCAGTTTGCGGAAAAGTCGTCGTTCTCGCTCGGTGTTGGCTTTGCCGCTGACGACATTCACCCCGCGGTCCTCAAGGTCGGGCTCAAGATGGCCAAGGGCGTGCTTGTGGGTCCGAACGAGCGTTGCGTGGCCATGCTGCGGGCGTTTATGCGTGTGGTGGAGGACTACGTAGTGCCGGAGAACAAGTCTCTGCAGCGCGATCTGGAGCCGCACTTTAAGCCGCTCATCGGGTTCCTCGTCAAGTGCCGGCCGCTCTCACTCTCGATGGGCAACGCCATCAACTGGCTCAAGTTGGCAATCTCGCAGCTGCCGGTCGGCGGGACCGAGCACGCCGTCAAGGAGCTGCTCCTCGACCAGATGGAGCGCTACATCCGCGACAAGATTGTTGTCGCCGTCCGCTCCATTGCCCAGCTCGGCAACTCGAAGATCCGCGACCGCGATGTCATCCTCACGTACGGCTGGTCGCAGGTTGTCTCGGCAACGCTCATCGAAGCCGCCGCCGCCGGCAAGTCGTTCCGGGTCATTGTAGTCGACGCGCGGCCCGAGCTCGAGGGCAAGATCATGCTCCGCCGCCTCACCGCGGTCGGCATCAAGTGCTCGTACGTGCTCATCAACGCCGTCTCGTACGTCGCCCGCGAGGCCACCAAGGTCTTCCTCGGCGCCGACTCGCTCTTCACCAATGGCGCCGTCCGCGGTCGCATCGGCTCGGCACTCATCGCCTCGGTCGCCGCCACCGCAAACGTCCCGGTCATCGTCTGCTGCGAGGGCTACAAGTTTTCCAACAAGGTCCACCTCGACGTCTTTGTCAACAACGAGCTCGGCAATCCCGAGGCGCTCGCAGCCTCGGACTCGGCTACCCCGTCGCCGCTCGCAGACTGGAAGGACAACCCGAACCTGAGCCTGCTCAACCTCCGCTACGACATCATTCCCATGGAGTACGTCTCTCTCATGATCACAGAAGTCGGCCTCCTCCCGCCTACCTCGGTCCCGGTCATCATCCGCGAGTACCAAGAGCAGGGTGGCCAGTAGCGGGCGAACGCTCTGGCCTCGCGCTCGCCCTTCAAATGAAAAAAAGCAGCTTGCTTCACGCCCTTCACACCACATCGCGGCCCGCCCACCGGGCAGGATCCAGCGCCCGCAGCGCAGCAGCCTCGGCCGCGACCATGACCCGGTATTCGTCGTCGTCCTCGTGATCATGCCCGAGCAGGTGCAACATGCCATGGACAACCACCCGCGGCAGAGCATCATCCATCAGTGACAAGCCGTCTCCATCAGCATCAGCTGCCACCACCGGAAGGCAGACAACGACATCGCCAAGGTCAGCCCCTGGCGGTACCTCGTTGCTTGCCACCACAGCTGTCACGTCGCCACCAGCCGGAGTGCCGGCGCCCTGGTCGGGCCGCCGCAGCTGAGCCACAGCGTCAAGCGCAGGCACAGCAAGCACGTCTGTCGGCCCGTCCTTGCCCCGTAGCTCCGCATTGAGCTCGGCCATCTGTAGCGTCGACGCCAGCCACAGTCCCATGTCGGCATGGTCGATGCCAAGTATGCCGCGCAGCGCCTCGGCCGTCGTTCGCGTCGCCATCACTTTCGCCACCGACAGGCCTCGGCAGGAGACACGCAGCCGGAGCATGACAATGTCGAAGTTGGAGTTGGGTCGATGTCGTAGGGCAGACAAGATGCGATGAGGATGAGGAAGATCAAGGTGAGGGTTAGGGTTAGGGTTAGGGTCAGGTAGAGGGGGACGGGGCGAAGGGGGGGGGGGGGGGGGGGTCACACACTGCTTTGTTACACGCTCACATTCATTGCCTCTTCGCTCTTCGCTCACGAGTCATCGTCGTCAGCAAGGGCGGCATCGGCGCGGGCAAAGGCGGTCACGGCCATGCGGAGCAGGATCTCGTCGAGGGCGTAGTGAGCCTTGTGATACTGCTCGGCAGGCATGTCGAAAAAGTAGGCCGCTAGTGAGCCCTGGATGACCTCCTGTGAGGCTGCGAGCATGGCCTTGACCTGCGAGAGCCACTCGATGGAGAGCCGTGAGCCCTCACGGTCAATAAAGGTCTGGAAGAGCGTTGCCGCCCGACGGATGCGCTCCTGAAGGAAGAGGTCGTCGTCGGCGAGGTCCGCCAAGTTGAGGATGCTGTCCATTAGCGCCCGGTTCTCCGCCAGCATGGTTGCCACCACAGCCTTGCGCTTCTTCCGCATCTTGGCCTTGGACTTGCTCTTGCCCGACGAGACTGAGCCTGCTGCACCGCCGGCACCGGCCTCAGTCTTGCCCTTGCCCTTGCCCTTCTTGCTCTTGCCCGTCTTGCTCTTTCCCTTGTCCTTGCCCTTGCCCTTGCCCTTGCCCTTGCCCTTGCTGCTCTTGCCCTTGCCGCCCTTGCCCTTCTCCACCTCTTCGCACCCTCCGGCCTCGCCCGACGAGCCCGACGACTCGTCATACTCTGAGCTCGTTTCTATCTCACCATGGCCCACCACCATCATCGCCATGCCAGTCGCCGCAACCAGCACCCGTCCCCGGTCCACCCCCCCCCCCCCCCCCCCCGCCCCCGCCCCGCCCCAGTCCCCATGTCACGCACCTCCCTCGACAATGTGAGTCAGGCGACCAGCGCATCGAGTCGGGCGGCGACCACGTCGTCACCGGGCCGCCCATGTAGAGGGCTTTTTTGAAGAGCAGCAAGGAAAGAAGGTGAGGCCGACAGAGGTAGCCTCTCCTTCCCTCTCGCATGCTTCCCTTGTCTACTACCTCTGTCACTCGCCTTGCTAATACTCTTTCAAATGCGTACCCTTCCGTGCCTTCTTCGCCATGTTGCAACAGGTAACGAGCCGAGTGACCCTCGACAACCTCAAACCGCTCCCCATCAAACACCTTTGCCCATCACTGCTCCCCCCACCAGCAAATATTCAATAAAAATAGTGTCACCCACCCCCCATCCTCCCCACCCACCCACCCCCTCCTCCCCCTCCCCTCCCTCACCCCCACACCCCCACCCCCCCCCCCCTCCACACACACCATGGAAACCGCAGCCATGTTTGACGCTGCGGTGGAGACACTGATGCCTAGCGGCGGCGAGAATGGCACTCAGGCTATGCTCGGTCTGGCGTCACCACCTGCGGCTCGGAAGGATGCTCTGGCGTACTTACAGACTCTTGCTGGCTCGCATGAGATGTGGAACTTGGCTCTGTATCGCGTCCGTGAGCCTGATGGTCTTCCGGCGGCTCGTCACTTTTGCCTTAGCCTCCTCGCTGACCGTCTCGACTTGCTGGTGGCCGATGGCGATGCCGATGGTCTCGCCCGTGCTCCGCTGGACAAGCTTGTCGGGGTGGCCATGGATCAGGTTGCTCCCAATGGGGTTCTCTGCCCAGGCTATGTGCTGGGCAAGCTGGCGCAAGTCGTTGTCGCCGCAGTCAAGGCCCGCGCTGCCCTTCAAGGGCCCGAGGCCTTTGTTGACGGCCTCTTTGCCAGCCTTCTCCTGCCGGCGCTCAAGACCGACGAGCCGGCCATGGTCGCCTTCTTTCTCGTTGCCTGCAAGGAGATGCACCAGGCCATCATCGACAACGACATCCGCCGCTCGAATCCGGACGCCGCACTGTGCAGCGCCATTCTCAAGCACATGCGCGAGTCAGGCCTTGCCGCAGCCCTTGTCGACGCCATCCTCCACATCGCAGACGCCCACGGCCACGACTCGAGCCTGGTAGCTCTTGCGCTCGAGGTCCTCGCCGAGGTCACTGCCTGGGTCGACGCTCACCTGGTGGTCACAGATGAGGTCCTCTCGCTCCTCTATGCCCAGCTGCTCTCCACTCCGCGCGGCGCCACCGCCCAGGCCATCGACGCACTCGAGGAGCTTGTCTCCAAGGGCATGCCGCCGGCCGAGAAGCTCGCCCTCATCCAGTCGCTCGCTCTCCCGGCCTTGCTCGACGGCATGGCCCTCTCGCCGCACACTCCGCCAGACTCGCACGAGTTTGACGTCGTCGTCGCCCTCGCTGGCCTCGTCAAGGCCTGCGTCCTCACCCTCTGCTCCTCGTGGTTCAAGATGGTCCGCGACGAAGCCAATCTCGCCACCGACGACGACCACCTCACGGCCTCGTACCTCCGCGACGCCATCTTTGAGTGCCTGCAGATCTCGCTCGCCTTTGCCGCCGCAGACGCACCCGAAATCGTCGCCCACACCGTCGCCGGTGCCACAGACTTTGTCTCGCGCTTCAAGCGGGCCGCTGCCTCGGGCCCCATCACAGCCTCGCTCATCCTCGATGGCAACATGGCCTCCCTCCTTGTCGCCCTCCTCGAGCTCGTCTCTATCAAGTCGCGCCTCCCGCCGGGCTACACCCCGCACGACCCGGAGAACACCCATTCGGGCCCGTGCCTCTCCATTCTTGTCGACGAGTCGTCCATTGAGGCCTTCCGCGCCTCGCTCCTCTCGCTCTTCAAAAACGCCGCCGGCCTCTCGCCCATGCTCACCATGGCCTGGCTCCGCACCGCTCTCCAGGCTGGCCTCTGCGACCCGGACCGCGCCATTGTTGCCGAGCCGCTGGTAGGCATGTTCTACGCCCTCGGTCACGTCCTGCAGGTCGAGTTTGCTAGCGCCGTCGCCGGCGAGGCCACTCCAGGCATCGGTCGCCACGCCCAGCTGCCCACCCTCGACGGCATCATCGCCGCCGCCGAAAACACCCGCCACGGCCTCGCTCTCGGCGACGCCGGCGACGTCGGCGCCGTCTTCCTCATCGACACCTTCCTGGACATTATCGATGCCGACCTGCTCGCCGACGACGACCTCGCCCTCAAGCGCGCCATGTATGAAGTCCTCGCCCGCTACTGCCCGCTCCTCAGCCACGCCGGCAACTCGGTGGCGCCGGTCTTCCTCTCGCTCCTCGACAAGGGCGGCATCCAGTGCGGCCACCCGTCGCTTGTCCCGCGCTTTGGCGCCCTCGTTGTCAAGCTCGCCACCGAGCTCACCCACCAGCTCGCTGCCCACCTCGACGTCATCCTCAACACCGTCCTCCTCCTCCTTGTCCCGTCGTCCATCGACGAGGTCTCGCCGGCGGCGCCGGCCGTCGCCGAGGCCGTCGGCATCCTCCTCGTCCACAACGAGTCGAGCCTCTCCGACGACGCCCGCCACTCGGTCCTCGACCACCTGCTCGACGGCCTCTGTTCGCTCATCGAGTCGGTGGTGGGCAACGCGTCCAATGGCGCCCTCTCGTCCGACGACGCCGCAGACGTCGTCACCCACTTTGTCTTTGTCGCCGCCTCGCTCTCCAAGGCCATCACCGCCGCCTCGGGCCTCGGCCACCACTTTATGTCCGCCTACGAGCGCATTCTCTCGGCCGTCTGGCAGCTCGGCATGCTCACGCCGCCGCTCACCTCAAAGGTCTTCTCTTTCGTCCACTGCATGGTCGACACCCTCGGCGACGGTGTGCTCTCGGGCCTCAACCCACTCGCCACCATGTTCCTCACCCTTCCCGAGGCCTACGATTCGGACGCAGTCACATCGGTCGCCCTCTTTATCGGCCTTCTCAACCAGCTTGTCGCCCGCTTCAAAGACGCCGTGGTCCCTGTCGCCGCTGACATCCTCCCGCGCGCCGTCGCCGCCGTCGAGACCGCCGCCGCCTCGTCGCCATCAGGCCACTACGGCCACCGCGCAGCCCACGGCGTCCTCTCCGAGTACGACCGCGAGGTCGACGGCCTCACCCGCGCAGCCCTCGCCTGGCTCGTCACCATGTTCACCCACGGTGTGGCCGAGCAGGTCTTCTCTGTCGCCGCCGCATCGTCTGATGACGTCGTCGCCCTCCTCACCACCCTCGCCGCTGTCGCCCGCCCCGGCGGTACACAATGCCGCCGCGCTCTCTTCCAGCTCGCCCGTGCTGTTACCTCCACATGGCTCACTCCGGGCTCGTCCTCGCTTGCCGGCATTGACTCGTTTGTCTACGACACTGCACTCTCACTCGGCTTCTCCATCGTCCTTGACCCCGCCTTTGACATGAGCGACGCCCGCGCCGCCTTTTTCGTCGTCTCGGAAGTCGCCGGCCTCGTCCGCGCCGTCTACTCGGCAGACCCAGATCGCGCTGCAGCCTGGCTCCAGCACCACCTGTTTGAGAATCAGGCCCACGCAAACGCCTTTCCGGACTTTATGGAGCGGCTCGCCAACGCGTCCGACAAAAAGTGGTCCGCCTACTTTCGCAGAGTCCTCAACGAGCTGCGCTCGTAAACCCGCTGTCTCACCCCATGCCAAGCGTCGCCCGCAGCCGCACCACACCCGGCTCGCCGACCGGCCAGCTGGCATCGGCGGCAAACGCCCGGACCGGCGCCCAGTCGGCCGCGCTCACTGGCGAGCCGACCACACCCGGCTGCCAGCCGGGCGGAAGGACGAGAATCATCTCCAGAGCCCGCTCCGCGGCGGTCCCAGGCGCGCTCGCCCTCACGCCCTCCAGCGCGGGTAGCAGCCGCGTGTGGATGTAGCTGCCAAAGAGCGTGCGCGCGAGCGACGCCCTTGTCAGTGGTCCCTCGCGCCACGGCACGAACCCATCCCACGACGAGATGAGCCGCAGCGCCTTGAGGGCAAGCTGAAAGTAGTGCGCAAAGACGGCAGCCATGCCAGGCGTCGCGTACATGCCAGGCGCGCGCGCCAGAGGCGGGAGCGGCGTCGCCGATGGCTGCACCATAAGTAGCATGGCCGACTTGAGGGCGCTGATTAGTGGCTCGAGCGTCGCTGTCGGCGCCGCCGCCTCAGACCCACCGAAAAACTCGGTGACCAGTGCCAGTGCGTCCTGCAGCGCCTGGTTAAACTTGCCCGAGAGCAGCGCCCACCGCCACGTCGTCCGCACCATTTTGGTCAGGTGCGGCACGAGGTGCGCCGCAAGGAGGTCCGCCAGCAGCGCCTCGTCGTCGGGCAGGCTCCCGGTGGTGCCAAACTCAAAGACTGGCTCCAGCCACGGCAGCGCGTCCTCAAGCGACGCACCGCGATGCGGCTCCCAGCCCAGGAGCGACGCCCGCACAAACGGCGCCAGTGCCGTCCGCAATGCCAGAGAGCCAAAGGCGTCGCGGTACGCCCCGGCATGCTCGCGGCGCCAGTTGGCAAAGACACCGACAACCGCCTCCGCTGAGCCAAACTCAGGCGTGACGTTGGCAAACGGAGCGGCGTCGGAGGGCGGCGGCGGAAAGCTGGCATCGGCACTCGCCTCGGCGGCATCGTCGTCCGAAAGCCACGGGTCGGCTGGCAGCGACGTCGTCGCCAGTGCCTGCAGCCGTGCGGTCCGCGCCTCAGCGGTAATGACAGTGTCGGGCGCGAGAAACACCGGCCGTGCTGCATCGACGTGCTCCGAGGTGAGCGCAAAGACCCGTCAAGAAAGGCCAGCGAGGCGCGGGTGTGCCGATCCCGGGCCTGTGCACTGAGCGCAGTCCAGTAAGCGGCCTCGGCCTTGTCGACTAGCGGAAGTTGGGCCACTAGGCAGTCGCCAAGCTCGACCACAAACTCGCCGAGCTGCTGCACAAAGGCGAGCCGGGAAGAGAGCTCCTTGATGGCTGCGAGCCGGTCGGCGAGCGTCGTCTGTGCGCTCTCGAGCGCGGCCCGGGACTGGGCCGCGGCATCAGCTGCGGCATCAGCTGCGTCCTGGGTACCGGCTGCCCGGGCCGCAATGCTAGCAAGCACGTCGCTGATGCTCGGTGGCGCGTACCGCTCGGGCATGGCCAGATACAGCTCGGTCCGCTCAAGTGGAACAGCGGCGCGAATGGCGGCCGCGTCGGCTGCTCGCGAGGTGCCCTTGGCCACAATGGCAGCTTCGGCGTCAGGATCCAGGTCAAGCTGAGTGGCTTTAGCCGGCTTGGCACGGGCAGCGTTCTTGCCCGGCGCGCCAAAGGCAAACGAGTCGGCATAGTGCTCGCCGTCGAGAAAGGCCAGCTCATCAGCGTCAGTAGCCATATCCTCAGCCACCAGCCGGGCACCAGACCTCGCTGCTGCCTTGCTGCTCTTGGCTTTGGCCTCGTCTCCTTCTCCCAGCAGCGGGATAAAGTCGCCCTCGGCCACGCCAATCTGATCCGTCTCCTCCTGATCAGCCACCATCCTAGCCTGTCTCCTTGCGTCCCTCGCACGCTTGACAGCAGCCTGCGATTGAATGCCGCTCTCGTCACCCTCTACTGCGTCTTTGTCATCCCCATCATCATCGGCATCGCACTCGTCGTCGACCACCACCCGCACCTTGGTCTCTGCCGCCAGCTCTGCCAGATGCTGCGCCGAATACGACGGCCGACCGATGGTGCCCGTCCCGTCCAACTTTCCCGCCATGGCCACCGCCGGCGATAGCCGCACCGTCCGCTCTCCTCCTACAGCGATGCCTCGCCGTGAGCTCTTCCCGCCCTTTCCGCCCTTGCGCCTCCTCGATGAGCCCATGACCGACACAGCAGCAGCAACCGCATCTGTAGCACTTGCGCCCGTTGATGGTGGTGCTACCAAGCCAACGATGGACGATGACAGAGGTGACGATGACGCCGATGGTCCTCCCGCAAGAGTTGGTGCCTCCAGCAGCGTCTCGCCACCCAGAGTGTCCGAGGTACCCGAGGTGCCCGAGTTGCCCGAGGAGACGGTGGCAGTCGTCGTGCGGGCTGCCGCTCGTTTGCGTCGCTTCTTGAACATAGTGGTGGTGGGGGTGGTGAGGGTGGTGTGGTTGGGGTTGGTGGCTTCGGAGAGGTTGACGGCCGAGTGCGACACGGCTGGTGAGGGTGGTGGCGGGACCGACTTGGGGTGAGTCTGCCACACGCCTGCTCCACTCGGCGACTCGGCGCGGCCACAAGAGACCATTCGAGAGCTACGGATGATCTGATCCGATTCTGAGGTTTGCAGCCCATGATCTTGTGGCTTGGGGAGTGGGGGGGGGGGGGGAGGGGGGGGGCGAATCGTTTCCTCAGCCAGCCAGCCAATCTGGCGTCTGCTTCTCTCACCCCCGTCGCCGTCACCGACACCGACACTGACACCGACACCGACACAAAGACCGACACCGATACTTGCACCTCAAGTCCAGCTCGTCACACTCGACCTACAAAGCTAACCATGGGCATGAATGTAGTAGAGGAGTTTACGCATGCGGCACACAACTTTTCCGTACGCTAGCCCTCCTGTGTCATGCAGATATGGTGGAAGGTGTGGTGTGTGTGTGGGGGGG